ATGTTTTGTGATACCAGCACACCTAATGACAAACATTTCTTGAGGAGGGACAGAAGTCACAGTGCTAATTAGTTTCCCCTCTCTTTTGCCGTGATAGTTTCAATTTATTAGTAGAGTATGCCCCAAAAGTACTAGATTATAGAACATTATGTGACTGTATACTCCCCGTAGCTGAATTCCTTTTGATTTATAATTATAAATTCTTATAGAAACATGATCAGCAATGTTAGTGCCACCCCAAACGGAGTTTTACTTTGTCCCAGATGACCTCATACATGCTGTGCTCTTTCTAATGCATCCTAATAGAAAGTTAACAAAGGCACATCTTCCAGTTTTCAACAATTCTTAGTGAAATTTAAATGTGGAGTAAGGCTACCCTCAAGTTTTTTAGAACTCAGGTGTGAAAAATACTATGGGTAGATACTGAATATGTGGTAAATATATACAGTGGAAAATTGTTACATGGTTATAAGCATTGAAGTTATTGAATTTGAGTGCAGTTAGATGGGATTTGGAAAGAATCATGGGTGAGTGAACCTGACACAGAAAGAAAAATGCTTAGGCTTTTTCTTGTATGCAGATCCTAGCTACCACATTTTCACGTATGTATTTAACCATGTGTGGAGGAAAGACCATAAAGATGGGAGCAATTAGAGGGAAGAAGAGTTTGTTAGAACATATCATGTAAAATGTAGTTAGAGAGTGTAACAGTGGCTTAAAAGGTATAAGCAAAGAGGGCAGTTGTAATATTTGAAGAATAGTGTGTGTGTATGCAGTAAAACATTACAATGTCTATATCATAGAGAACAGAATGAATATTAAAAGAAAAGTTCACTCCATTCTCACAATACTTGCATGCATAACTCTTCTGTTTCTCTTTAGTGTGGTTTCTGTCATGTCTGTTACACCTACTGGAGTCATTGAAGGCTTTCCCACAATGCTTACATGCATAAGGTTTCTCTCCAGTGTGGTTCCTTTCATGTCTGTTTTGAGAACTGGGGTTGTTGAAGGTTTTACACAATGGTTACATGCATAAGGCTTTTTCCAATGTGAATTTATTTCATGAATATTCAGATGCCTGAGATAGGAAAAGGCTTTTTCACAATGCTTACATGTATAATGGCTCTTTGTCATGTGTATTCTTTCATGAATGTTACAAGCCTTGGGATTAGTCAATGCTTTTCCACAATGTTTACATGCATAAGGTTTCTCTCCACTGTGAATTCTTTCAGGAATGATGTGATACGTAAAACTGCTGACGTTTTATCCACAATGCTTTCAGGCATTGATTTTTCTCTGCAGTGTGGCTCCTTTCATATCTGTTACAACTACGGGGGTGGTTGAAGGCTTTTCCACAATGCTTACATGCATAAGGCTTTTCTCCAGTATGAATTATTTCATGGCTCTTCAGATGACTGGAACAGAAAAAGGCTTTTCCACAATGCTTACATGCATAAAGTTTCTCTCCAGTGTGAATTCTCTCATGAAAGTTTTGAGAAATAGAACTTCTGAAGTTTTTTCCACAATGCTTACATGCATAAAGTTTCTCTTCAGTGTGAATTCTTTCATGAATGTCTCGATAAGAAGAACGGGAGAAGTTTTTCCCACAATGCTTGCAGGCATAAGGCTTTTGTCCAGTGTAACTGCTTTCATGACTGTTATGATGACTGAGCTGGGTTTTTCTTTTTTCTTTTTTTGAAAAACCAAATGCTTTAATGAGGCTATGAAGAACAACAGTTCAATTATTTCATTGGATACATTAATCTCAATCAGAATATTCAGTGCTGTGGACCATACAGAAAGAATTGCTGCGCCCCACAGTGGGGGCTGCTATTGACATTACGGTAGCAAGTGTCCACAAGACAAGGTCACTTGTTGTCTTTGTCCAGAAGTCAGCTTCTTTTTCATACTGTTAGCGACATCAACTTCTCCCCAGTGCATTTTTCAAAAATATGAATAAGTGCATTCCTTTGTGCTTTTTTTTTTTTTTTGGTTTTTTTTTT